AACCAGCCACTCCTTATAACTCAAACCCTCCAGTCCTGGCAACATCTGAACACTCTCCAATTTAATGACTGTCCAAGTTCTGATTTCTTTCTACCCTGCTTTATTTTGGGAACATAGTTTCCTTGTTCTTGCTCAGTGGTTGGACTAATGACTACTCCTGAGAAATAGTATTCAATCAAAACTAGAAGTTTAGCAATAATAAGTCAAGTAAACCTCCCTTCAATTTTTATCTTCAACAAGGAATTATTTGTTTTCTGCATTCTTTCTGCCAAGATAATGTAGCTTTGAAACAGTTTAAAAAAAAGACGACATTAAGAAAAGCTTGCATTACAAAATATTTTACTTGGTTAGTCACCAGGACGGGCTAGATTGTTTAGAAGTAAAGGTACAGTGTGTTAAAATAATTACAAAACATTTCCTTCTTCCCTATTCATTCAAGAACACTCCCTGCTGATTTTTAAAAATTCATTCACAGAATGAGCACATTGCTGGATAGGCCAGCATTTGTTGCCCAGAGGGCAGTTAAGAGTCAACCATATTGCTGTGGGTCTGGAGTCTCATGATGGCCAGACCAGGTAAGGATGGCAGTTTCCTTCCCTAAAGGACAGAGAACCAGGTAGGTTTTTCTCAACAATTGGCAATAGATTCATGGTCACATTCAGACCCCTAATTCCAAATTTCTTTTTTATTGAATTCAAATTCCACCATCTGCTGTGGTAGGATTCAAACCAGATCCACAGAACATTATCTTGGTCTCTGGATTAACAGTTCAGCAGTAATATCACTAGCCCATCACCTCCCCCATTTTCTCTAATATGTGCATCTTCCTAAGACCATAAGACAAAGGAGCAGAAGTAGGCTGTTCAGCCCATCGAGTCTGCTCACAATTCAGTGAGATCATGGCAGATCTGATGATCCTCAACTCCACTTTCCTGCCTTATATCCATAAGCCTCAATTCCCTTACTGAGGCTTGAATAAAATTCTTAAATTAACATACTTGTAAACTGCCTGTACTGATTCTTGTACCTTTCTGTTTTAAGGGTGTTCTCCAAATGGACCCAACTTATATGGGTCATAGAACAGAGGCTCAATATACACATCACAACAGCAGTGGCTGCTCATGTTGTATCAGAGTTTATTGACAGACAGATCTTTATTCTCTTCTGAAGGCTTGAACTTGTTTCACATCTAGACAAGCTGTTTTCTCTTCTGTTAACCATAACCCACTCCAACTCACCAACACCCCTGTGTTCCTCCAGTTCTGGCCCTCTGCACATATGGCCTATTTTTGTCTGTCTACTTTGTGCCTTTATTGCTCTGTGGAAAGCTTTGTGCTGAAACCCATGAATGTCTTATTTTAAAGGTCCTATATAAATGTAAGTTGTTATTAAAATTAATGCTTATGGATCTTTATAAACAGAAATTTCACACAGATGAATTAATATGTTCACAATCAATATCACACCCTGTCATTTCAAGTGACTTACGCATTATCTGATTCTCTGTAGTTGTTCATTTGTATGAAATTTTTCCGATCATAATGTTCCATAAGCATTTATTTTAATAATAACAACTTACATTTAAATAATAGGATTAAAATAAGACACTTATGGGTTTCAGGACAGAGCTTTCGACAGAGTGCAAAAGACACAAAGTAGATGCATTGTTAAAAGAGTTTAACCATTAGACTAATAACCAGTTGGAGATCATTTGGCTGGAAGGCTGGTTTACAATACAGACTGATGCTAATGGAATAAATCTCGATTCCTGCATCAGCTGAGGTTACAATGAAAGTTCCTCTTTCTCAACCACTCTCCTTGCCTAAGGCATGGAGACCCTCAGGCTAAGCCACCACAAGACATCTCTCTCTCTAATGGTGTAGAGCTGGATGAACACAGCAGGCCAATCAGCATGAGAGGAGCAGGAAGGCTTATCTCTCTCTCTAATGGCACTGTTTATGGATACAATAGCCTTCACTGAAATTTTGCTTTAAAAATTTTCTTTGAAGAATTCCTTTGTTGATTACCAAGAGGAAGAGTATCAGTTCTGGCTTCTACCTTGTTTATGGTTTTATAGGACCGGGCCTGCATTAGTTACAACATTAAAGTTCACGGAGTGATTAATTGCAGGGAAACAAATCCAATATTGTGACATGTTAATTTAGTACACTAGCCTCTTCTACAATCCAAAGGTCTAATTGTTAATGAATTAAGGGTGGATTAACCTGGAATTTGTATTGTGCACTCAAGTTAATGTAACATTCAGGAGAGAAGATGCCTTTACCCTGCAGCCTGCATTAAATTTGAATGCAAGTCAGTGAGGTGAAAGGATAGCATGGAGCTCAGCAGACCTCAGGAAAATAAATCTTTGTAAAGTGAAACATGTTTTATTTTGTGCCCCATTCCATCAAATGTTTTGTATTGAAATGGCAACAGAATTTAATAGAAAAACTGGACACAAATCACAAAAGGCCTTTAATATTTGAAACATGCTTGAAATTTGAGCCAGGAGCCTCTTTGGACTTAGACCTCTGATAATCACCTAGCAGTGAGACTTTAAAGAAAAATGGTTTCATTTACATTCATGCAATATTTAAAACAGATAATCTTGCCTTGTGTAGGTATAAATTCAGATACATACTCATTCCCCAGCTAAAAATGTTCAAACTGAAGTAAACTTCTCTCTATTAAGAAATGCTCAAGATGCATAGTGAGTTAATGAGTCAGAATCTCTTTTACATTTCCACAAGCCTCAGATTTTCAATATTTATGTTTTATTTTCACAGAAAAACAAAACGACACATTTACAGGCACATTGTTCATGAACTCAAGAAGTCCTGAAGTATGTTACAGCCAACAGGTTACTAGTTGTAAAGTGTAATCACTGTTTTATGCACAACGAACAAGTCATTTACATCAAGAGACCATAAACAGCATTTAGATAAATTGGTGATTAATCTGTTGAGTGATGATGAATGCTGAATGGAAGACTCTCTCCCTGCTCTTGTAACAGTGTCATCCTTACATCAACCTGAACAATCCTCAGCCTAATGTCATCCCTGAAGCACAGCTCTGACAATGCAGCACTCCCTTAAAACTGCGGTGATGCGTCAACCTTGAATTAACGATCAATTAATTCTAAATTTTTTGCCAAATGTGAATGCTCCTATAGAAATTGATTTCTAAACACACCCTTCACCCCTCACCAACTCTACTCTAACACCATGCATTCCTCCTCCTCTGCCCCGTCCAAAATGTCCCCAAGATAGCTATTGCTCAATTGTGAGGCAAATTAATTGTTGACAGTTCTCTTGGCTATAGAGATGCTGGCTCATTCGAAGGGTGGCCATAGAGGCATGGGAAGTGGGTGGGAGAGGGCGTTCCTGGGTCATGAAGCAGGTTGTGCCCTTAATTGGCTATATTCATGGTTCTACTGGCTCTTGATGGGCGTCTGAGCAGCCCAATGTACCACTGATGGCAATAAACCATGTCAGATGTTGGGCCCACAAACAGAGGACATATGTCACTATTTAAATGGAGAAAAACTGCAGAAAGCTACAACACAAAGGGACTTGGGGGTACTTGTGCATTAAAGACAGAGAGCCAGCACATAGGTGCAGCAGGTAATCAGGAAGGCTCATGGAATGTTGGCCCTTATTTCAAGAGGGTTGGAGTATAAGAGTAGGGAGGCCTTACTGCAACTCTACAAGGTGCTGGTGAGACCACACCTGGAGTAGGTTAAGCAGTTTTGGTCCCCTTATTTAAGATATTATTTCATTCAAGGCAGTTCAGAGAAGATTCAATATGATGGTCCCCAGTATGGAGGGATTATCTTGTGAGCAAAGATTAAACGGGTTCCAACTCGACTCAGTAGAACTTAGAAGAATGAGAGGTTATCTCATTGAAACATATAGGATTATTAAGAGCTTGACAGGGTAAATACTGAGAGAATGGAAGTGTCCAGGTCCAGAAGGCATGGTCTCAGAATGAAGAAGCACCAATTTAAGACTGAAATGAGGAGGAATTTCTTCTCTCAGAGGGTTGAGTTTTTGAAATTCCTTGCCACAGAGAGATGTGGGCGCAGAGTCCTTCTTTTCAATTTAAGGCTGATATAATTTCCAGTAGGGGAATTGAGGGTTATAGGGAAAGGGCAAGAAAATAGATGTGAAGAGCAGCCATGATCCCATTGAATGGCGGAGCAGGTTCGAGGGACCACATGACCAACTCCTCTTCCTATCTCTTATGGTTGTATTACTATTTCACCTGTTCTCCCACCTCTTTCCCTGAGGGGTATGGCTTGCTCAGCCCTTAGCTTTGGCTTTCAGATGAAGGATTAAACTCAGACCCCATCTGTTTTTGCAGGGTGGATGTAAAAGATCAAGGGCATTTTTCAAAAAAGAGCCAGAGTCTTTTATTTTCTGAAGAAGGCTCTAGGCCCGAAACGTCAGCCTTCCTGCTCCTCTGATGCTGCTTGGCCTGCTGTGTCCATCCAGCTCTACACCTTGTTATCTCAGATTCTCCAGCATCTGCAGTTCCTACTATCTCTTTTTTTCTGTTGTCCCTCAACCAACATCAAGGATTATACGGTCTTTGTCACATTGTGTTTGTGAGAAATTGCTGTGTGCAAATTGACTGTTGTGATTCCTATATTGACTCAATTTCAAAAACTAATTCATTGGTTATAAAGTGCTTTAGGAACGCCTGGTGTCATGAAACTATTTAAATGCAGGTATTTCTTGCTTTCAACTTTATGTTTAAATTGCTGGAAATTATTTATGTGTAGAATGCTACACTTTCCAATACATTCACTCAGGTGAATTTATTTGAAAATCTGGACCCGCCAATAAAGTCATCAGTGCAAGTAGGAACGACTTGGAATGCTGTGTCATTAGCGGGTTGTCAATTCTAAGAAAACTCCCATTTGTTAATCAAAAACGAACAGTTGAGCTCAAATTTCTCTGCAGGCACAGAGTTGGAACAGTAAGAAAAAGGCTGCTTACCTCAGATTTTCTTTCAGTTTATCTTTCAAGGAGGGTTCAGTTTTCTTTGACCATTGAGCCACCACTTCCAAATGCTCCTCACTCATAACCTGCCTCTCCACATGGTAGTTGGGTTTCTGCATTTGGAAGTTGGAATCCGTTTCATCTCCTAATTTGGCAATCATTGAAAATTCTTGGTCTGCTGTCTACCTGGAAAGAATGTGAGAGCAGAATGAAAACTGGAGAATAGAAATGAGAGAAAAATACACAGCAGCTACACACACAGCAAACAGTGAAGAACAGAATGCTATAACGGAAACAGTGAGATCCAAAGAATGTCTACTCCTTACCTCATACAAACACTCCTTCAATTGTTTGCTTTCTGGCACAAATTGATTCTTGTTAAATCATCTGCCACAGCGGGAGGAAAAAAAAATGCTTTCAAAGTGACCTGCTGCAATGCCAAAACACCCATTTCTCATTTGGATAGGTTGCTTGTGGAATTTAGTGCTCTCTCCAAAGGTACGTATGGTGGAGGTGGGGTGTGGGAGGGGGAGTTGGATGGGAGGTGGTTGATAGGGGGCACCATTAACCAGCTGTCTTCCCACCTCCTTCTGGAATCAATCCAGTTTAATGGATGACCCTCCCACACTCTGCTGTGAATTGAGGTATTTAAGTGTGGATTACTATCCATCCAGGATATATTCACCCAGCAGCAGAGGTTGGGGACCCACTATGCAGGAGGCCTGAAAACCAAACACATTGGGGATGTCTGCAAGCTTCTGGGCTGGAGGTGTTCCCTCATTAAATGATACCCAGTGCTTAATCGAGGCACCAGGCATAGGGGAGGGAGACCCCACTGAGAACCACCCTTTCCCTTGCTGCTGACACCCCTCAATCCGCTGTGATTCCCACGCTGTGACCTCTATCCCATCACCACTCACCTATCACCTAAGGCTCCCCGGGCTGTTGGCGAATGCTTTGGTCGGAGCAACCACCATTCCCACTGGCACTCTCAAGCAAGGACAGCAGTCAGTGTGGTTAGCTTGCGGCTGTTGTGGGGTTACTGCTCTTGGGAGTCTTTGAACTACTTTTGTTGAGCTAAGTGCCTGAATGTCAATGTGTCTTCCCAGAAAGGAAGTGAAGCACACCCGGGGTGTGGCACAACATCTTCACCATCCCTATTAACTATCCCATGTCACCACAAAATGCTACAAATGGGAGTATGAGATAACACAGTGTGGAGCTTGAGGAACACAGCAGGCCAGGCAGTATCAGAGGAGCAGGAAGGTTGATGTTACGGGTCAAGACCCTTCTTCTAAAATGGGGGGAATGCAGAAAAAAAAAAAAGAGAGAGGGGGGGGGTGGGGGGGGGGAAGGTAGATAGGATGATGATAGGTGAGTGCAGGTAGGCAGTGGTGGGGATTGGTCAGTGAGGTGGGAGGGGCGGCTAGGTGGGTGAGAAGATGGACAGGTTGTGTCAGGTCAAGGAGGCGGAGATGAGAGGCAGAGTTGGTCATGGGATGAGGCTGGGGGTGGGGAGATTTTGAAACTGATAAAATCCACATTTAGGCCATTTGGCTGTAGGCTCCCGAGGCAGAATATGAGATGTTGCTCCTCTAGTTTCTGGGTGGCGTCATTGTGACACAGGAGGAGCCCCAGGATGAACATGTTGCCGTGGGAGCGGGAGCGGGAACGGGAGCGGGAACGGGAGCGGGAACGGGAGCGGGAGCGGGAGTGGGAGTTGGAGTTGGAGTTGGAGTTGAAATGGTTCACAACTGGAAGGTGTTGTCGTTTGTCACAAACAGAGCGCAGGTACTCCTCAAAATGGTCTCCGAGCCTCTGCTTGGTCTCACCCATGTAGAGGAGGCCACATCGGGACCAGCAGATGCAATAGACCACAATGACAGATGTGCAGGTGAGCCTCTGTCTGATGTGGAAGGTTTGTTTGGTGCCTAGAATGGAGGCAAGGGGAGAGGTTTAGGGGCAGGTGTAGCACTTCCTGCAGTTGCAGGGAAAGGTGCCGGGAGTGGTGGGGCTTGTAGGGAGTGTGGAGCGGATGAGGGAGTTGCGGAGTGAGCGGTCTCTGTGAAAGGCAGATAGGGGCGGGGAGGGAAATATATCTTTGGTTGTGGGTCAGATTGTAGGGGGCGGAAGTGGCGGAGAATGATACATTGGATGTAGAGGTTGGTGGGGTGGTATGTGAGGACAAGGGGAATTCTGCCTTTATTTTTGTTGTGAGGAGGGGATGTGAGGGCAGAGGTGCGGGAAATGAAAGAGATGCGGTTGAAGGCATTTTCGACCACCGAAGGGGGGATGTTGTGGTCCTTGAAATAAGAGGACATCTGGGATGTTCAGGAGTGGAATGCCCCATCTTGGGAACAGATGCGGCGGAGGCAGAGGAATTGGGAGTAGGGGATCGTATTCTTGCAGGAAGGTGCGTGAGAGGAGGTGTAGTCTAGGTAGCTGTGGGAGTCGGTGGGCTTGAAATAGATGCCAGTTTCGAGGTGGTCACCAGAGATGGAGACAGAGAGGCCCAGGAAGGAGAGGACCACCAGAGATAGAACTTGAGGTTGGGGTGTTAGTAAAGTAGATGAGCTGTTCAAGCTTCTTGTGGGAGCATGAGGCAATGCCGATACAGTCATCGATGTAGCAGAGGAAGAGGTGGAGGATAGTGCCAGTGTAGCTGCAGAAGAGGGACTGTTCCATGTATCCTACAAAGAGACAGGCATAGCTTTGGCCCTTGCAGGTTCCCATGGGCACCCCCTTAGTCTGTAGGAAGTCCTACATGGGAGTATGTTTGACTGCATGCATGAGTGACCTTGTAAAGCCAGTGAAATGTTTTCCTATGTTTGCTGTTTTCAGGAAAAAATGTTTCTTCTCTGTTCACTCCAGCCTTCAAGATAAGAATGGTCAGAAGATGCAGTATAATAATTAGGTTCCATTATGTGAATGAATAGTATACATCAGTGATGCTCAGAATTAGGACCATACCAAAAGTTGTTCTTGGATTGTATCGCTGTTCCTTCAATTGTTGGGTCAAAATCCTGGAACTCCCTAACCAAACTGTAGACATAACTACACTGAATGGACTGCAGTGGGTCAAGAAGGCAACTCAACACCACTTTCTCAAGGGCAAATAGGAATGGGCAACAAATGCTGGCCCAGCCAGCAACACCCACATCCCATGAATGTACTGACAAAAACTTCAACATAACCTCAACACCATCGTGACCCAGAACAGAGTCTGTTGTGAACAGATTGCTAAAGCCAAGGATTTGATATAATTGGGAATTTTGTGTTGAAAGGGAAGAAGGTGATGTTTTGTCTCCAATATATACGGTGGTTCATGTTTGCTTAAAGCAGCAAGTACTTAAAAACTTTGTCCAATGTTCGATGGTTAGGTGAGAATGGCGAATGGAAGAAGAAAAAAAAATTCAAGAAACTAAAACACAGAAACCAATGAGATAGGCTAAAAAATGGCAGTGAAATTTATATGCTTAGACAACTTGTATGCTTGGATTTACCAGGATGTTGCCTGGTGTGGAGGGCATTGGCTATGAGGAGAGGTTGGAGAAACTTGGGTTATTCTCACTGGTTGAGTGGTGATCCGATAGAGGTCTATGATATTATAAAGGGCATGGACAGAGTGGACAGTCAGACGCTTTATCCCAGAATGGAAGAGTCAGTTACCAGGGGCCATGGGTTTAAGGTGTGAGGGGCAAGTTTTAAAGGTGATGTATGAGGCAGGTTTTTTACACAGAGGGTGGTGGATGCCTGGAACTCACTGCTGGGGGAGGTAGTGGAAACAGATATGATAGTGACTTTTAAAGGGTGTCTTGACAAATACATGAATAGGATGGGAATAGAGGGATACAGTCCCTGGAAGAGTAGGGGGTTTTAGTTGTGACGGGCAGCATATCAGTGCAGGCTTGGAGTGTCAAAGGGCCTGTTTCTGTGCTGTAATTTTGTTTTTTATTTGTACAGCATGTGGGGATTTGTAGCAGTGAGATTGCCCAGAGTATGCAGTAGATATCTCCACTCAAATCTCTTTGGTGTAGAATCAGAATCATTCAGTTGAAGTATAAGTTGGAGAGACTTGGATACAAAAAAAAGAGGATAGCAATATCTGGGCATCTTGTTCCACATTTTGACAATACTTCATGGAAAGGTTCAAGCTGGTGTGACTGAAATTGTATAGAGTACAGGGAACCCAGTTAAGCTAGGGACTGAGATTCTGCAAAGACTGATCCTTTTCAACAGGTGCAATGTACTTTCTGTCTATGAGGATAAGGATAATGTCTAACAAAACAGCAGCCTGGTGCCCAGGTGAGGGACATCTCGAACTGGCCTGAAAGGTTATTGGAGAGGGAGAATAACTGATTCATTGAGATTCACGTTGAGACCAACAACACAGGTAAGAGAAGATAAAGATCCTATTTAGAAACTACCAGAAAATAGCAGATAAGTAACAAACAGCACCTCAAAAAGGGGAGAACCCTCTCCTCAAGTCCCCGGCATCACAAACACCAATCTTCAACCAGTTGGGTTTATTCCATATGATATCATAAATTGCTGAAACTGCTGAAATTGCAACTGGAAATATGCTGACAGTAGCATTGAAAACATGCTCCAGGACTTGCCAAACACCTTGGCCAAGCTGTTCCATTGCAGCTACAAGACTGGCATCCACCCAACAATGTTTATTTTATGCACAAGAAGCAGCACAAATCCAACCCAGCTAATCATTGAATATCAGTTTATTCTCGATCATCAGTAAAGTGATGTAAGGGTCATCAGCAATGCTCTCAATGGCATTGTGTGATGATACTATGGCTTTAAGGGGTGTATTTTGTCCTGTTTCTTTCTTTAAGTGAAAAAAGGTTGCGACAGAGGTGTTACGTGGTCTTCTCCAACCCCAATAAAGTAAACAACTTGTGAGTTGTTAGTTTTTAAAAAAAATTGGAACAATAGAAGCAGCCTAAATGGGTGGGATCAAGCCCCCACAGAACAGGATTATTAGTTTTAGCCTTCAGCAGTTGTTGCTGAACTGTCAGCAGGGTTTGGAAGCTGCAGTACACCTCTCTTTGCTACATCTGTCAGAGTTTTCTCGGTACTTTCCCTCCTGGGCTGCTGGAATTGCATGTGAGATAATTTGTATCTATTATTTTGTTAAACATTTTGATAGAGTTATAGCTAAGCCAATTCTT